GTGAGGCTCCCACCTGCCCAGCCCCTACTGCATGGCGCACAGTCCCCCTGCTTCAGCAGCAACGGCCATCGGGCGCTGAGTGTCCAGTGGTGTCAGAGCCCCCCATGGTGCAGTGCTACCCTGGCCAGCTGAGCCCCAGTACTGCCTGTGCCACATGGCCCAGGCCTGGCCCAGGGACATGTGCCTTTGGGCAGGATCAGGCCACTGTTGCTGTCACCCGGGGTCCTGGCACTACATGCAAGGGGCTATGTGTCAGGCCAGGCTGGCTCCTGCCCCACACTCCGTCAGGACTTCGCCCAGCCCAACGCATGGAACCTGCATGTAGTGCTGGGACCCTGAGTGACAGCAAGAGGCCCTGCCTGAAGGCACATGCCCCCAGGCTGTGCCAGGCTGGGCCCACAACGTGTGTTACCGGCAGTGCTGGGTCTCAGGTGGCTGAGATTGTGCCGCACTGTGGGGAGCCTCTATCAGCAGCAGACCCTGAGTGCCTGATGGCCGCTGCTGATTCAGGGAGGCTGCGCACTGAGCAGGGGGGCAGGCAGGTGGGTGACTTACTGCACCCAAGCAGCCCCACCCCCCAGCCCTACGTCCCTACTTACTGGGAACGGCGCCTGGGTCCAAGACACTGCTGCAGCCTTGCCCCATTCCTATTTGCCCCAGCACGCTGAGGCAGCATGCTGGAGCAGCAGGGGAAAGGGGCAGGCATAGAGACACTCTAGACAGGTGCCAGTGTCTTCTTGGAGGACCCAGCCACTGGTTGCCTCAGGGCATGCTCCAGGAGTGTACCATGTGCTGCTTTTTTTCAGCGTGTTTTGGGATTTTTTTATACCAGGATTTCCTGGTATCAAATTTAGAGTCCATGCTGCAAATATGCAATGTAGGGAACGTTTTTTCATTCCCAGAGTGCCTCTTGTGATATCTCAAACTGCTTTGAGACACCACAACAGGCATGTGCATGCCCATCTGGATGTACCACAGTGTCTACAATAAAACATGGAGTAGCAGAATCCAGGGCGTTTATGGACCTGAGAACAAAAAGTAAAAGTTATGGATCAGTAGCTGTACAGCTTCCCTGCTGTGACTGTGTTCAGACAACTTCCTTTAGCATAATAACTATTTAAGTCCTTTGGTCTCCTTTTCTATTGTTCTCAGTATGAGAATCTGTATTATCATGATCAGTTGTTGCCCAAACGAATACACACCTGTAATTACCAGCATATAGGTTTTAACTCTGTACCCAACCTAACCATGGAAAAATTGTTTTCACCTCTAAAGAAGAATGCAGATATTGAAATAATCATAATGCTTTGGTTAGATACCTCTGTAAAAGCTAGCTTTTACAGAGCTGTAAATCAGCATATGTAAATTGGGTTAAAATATGCATTTAATATTGTGCATGCCTGAGATAACAATGTTGTCATGCTCTGTGATGCAATAATCTCTATTGCCTTATGCTAAATACATAAATTCATGAGCTTGCCAAAATGCTTCAGCTTTGCTTCTAATCAGTCTCCTTAGGTGTTTCCTTATAGTGTGGTGAAATACATGTTGTATGATGTATTGGTGTAGACTTTTAGGAGCCTGTGTTTACTAGAGCACTTAAATACCTGACTATTCCCATTGGCTTATATGCTAAACTCTGTGTTAAAGCAGGGCATGAGGGAGCAAGTGACTTTTCCAGCCTCTGGATAGAAACAGGCATCAAATGGTCTTGGGATAAATAATTTTATCCTTGGACAGAGTGCAGTTGTTCAGATGTCCATGTCTTGTTTAAATCCTAAAAAGGCTGATGGGCTAAGAAGTCCTAATAATTTATCCTAGGACATTGCAAAGTGCATCTGAATGGTTATTCTGGTATTGCATCATAGTATCAGTGGTAGAAAATTGACAGTGCATTCAGCCACTCACTAAACCTGATTAAAGGGGTGATGTGTGTACACGCCAATTCCACTAAGCTGTCCTGGACAAATACAGGCACAACTTGTCCAGGGACAAATGCAATGTCTGCTCCTAGCCCTACAGACACATACGTGTTAAATAGATGCAAATTGCCCCCTTCATGGGATTTTCCTTTATTCCTAATTCATTTAGATGCTTTTGAAAATCTCATTTATAAGTACCTAGTATGGAATTATGTTGCAAAGAATTTTTTGCATCCTTGGATCTTCTATTTCCATACTGATCCATGCAAAGAGAAGTGGGTTGACTTGTAGAGGAACTAAGTGAACCCCAACTCAAATTAGAATAAAAAGGAGGCACCTGACTAAGGACTGAGAAGACTAAATGTATTCATCTAATCATAGATTAATATCATAGGTGACTGGTAGTAGGGGCACAGGGGGGCATGTGCCCCCCCCCCCCCCCCCGGACTGTCCCCAATGCCAGCGGTGGCTTCTGTGGGTGCTTGCCAGCCCTGGCCCTGCCGATGACACCAGCAACAGTTTCTGTGATACCCCCCAGACACAGGAGACACCAGTCACCCATGATTAATATTATTACTGAATCTACATTGCATACTATGAAATGAACTTATAAGAGGCCTGTGATGTGTCCTGACCCTGGATATGGTCAGGTTCATCTTTGAAGCAAACTCCTGAGGTGTTCTCACACCTTCAGGGATGCCCTTCAGCTCCAAACCCCACTCTGTCATCTGCTATTTGACCACTGAGAACAGAGTGAGGAGCTCCAGAGGTCACCTCCTTGACCTGTGATGCCTCATCTTTACCTCTGTCACTTAGGTCTTGCCAGCTTTTAACAGAGGGGATCCTGTCAGCTAAAAGAATCACACTTTGTTCAGTCCAGTCATGCTCTTAGAAAAGATAGATGCCCCCTTCCTTGGAAGAGTCCTATCTATGTGGTCAGGTGTTCTTAAATCACAGTGGTCACTGACAATAGTGGGTTATAAAAGATAAGACTTATTATAGAAACAAGAGCAAACTTAAGAAATCATTAACTATGTGTTGAGATGAAGATGGAGATATAAAAACAAACAAACAAGAGGAAATGTCAGAACAATGACCTGTTTTTACCCTGCATCTTAAAGCCAAGAATGCAGTGTCTACTCAGCCCACTAGCTAAAGGACTCTAATGCCTGGAAAAACAAAAAACCAAGATTTGCTCTCAAGACAAAGCTTAAGTGTGGTTTCTTATCTGGCCATTTACATGCATACATCACCCACTGAATTCTTGGGGAGTCTATGCATATAATTTTCTGCCCCTGCCAAGGTGCATGTTTACCAGATTAAAAGTCTTTCCTGATATAATTATGACCAGGAGACTGTTTGCAGCCTTTCACATAATATCCCAAGGATACTCTCTCTCACTTAGTTTACCCACTCTGAGATATAATCTTCTTTGAATAGCTTGAAAAGCCAGGTGTTAGTCTCACAGGGCCACTTCTCTTAAAATGGAAATTCATCATTGTCTGGAAGGGCCTGTTTATTTGGCATACCCATGTGATGCTGATTTTCAGTGATTACCTCTCTTCAGCTGTTTAGGCTTTGAGCCTCTCCCAGGTGTGAAACTCATTATGCAGTTCTGGCCCTATTATAACTTATAAGAAATACATTTGATATCAAGTATCACAAAGCATATAAATACAAGGCTGATACAGCTGAATGTAGCTTAACACTCTCTATCCATTGAGATCACACATGTGATATCAACAGTCTTTTGGCTAAGATCAAGGGAGAGAGGAGGCATATGAACCCCAAGGCCTCTGGGCCTGGGGCTTGCATGTAGGATGCCTGACTGGATTTAGGGAGTATCCAAAGCCCCAGACCAATGAGTCTGGGAGGGAGGATGCTTGCCCAGTAGAAGAGCTACACGGGCTTGAAGACTGAACTCTGCTCAGTTGAATTTTGGAAGTTGACTATTGGATTTTGCCCAATTGAATTTGAAACTGATTTGGCCTTGAAAAAAAAAAAGTAAAAACAAACTCAAGAAAGCATGCATGACATCATTGAAAATCTCAATTTATAATGGGGTTCATAATAAGGCCAATTTTCACCAGTGATTGAAGATTGACATGTTTTTGTTATTTTAAACCAGCTTGAACGAGGAATTTTCTGTCCAGTAGTTGGATATCGGTACTGTCCGCTCTCTTAAGTTCCAACTTTTTTTGGACATGTTCAGTCTCCTGCTTTGCCAGATATTTTGCCTTGTAAAATAGAAGAATTAGTTTACTTTACATAGTCCGGATAGTCTGGTTTATTTCATAGTTGGGATTACAACAGGATTGTTTAACATATCAAAAGGTGATTATGTATGGGCTGTATAGCTACTAGTCATTGAAACTGTCCCAATTCAAAAATATAAAATTAATAGCCACATTTGTGTCATCTACTGTAGCATTTTTCACAACATCTCTATAACTTGATAGTGTACGCATATTGCTCTGGTTATGTTTAACAGAAAACCATATTATTACCTTCCCCGAGTTTGACTTTTTCCCTTTTCCACAGAAATCATAGAAGATCTAGATTTGTAATTTTGTACTATATTGAAGCCTTAGAATTTGCCACAGGTTTTCCATTTTATGCATGGATACACTGTAAAATGTAGCTTTGTTCTTCCCCACCACCACCAAGTGTGTACAGCCTCCATCCCTGCTGCACCTCATGTAGGGGCAGTCACCACCCCCACTACTCCACTGTGCCTTCCCCCGCCACCAGCTCACCAAGTGTGGACTCCCCCATTGTACTGCCTCACAGGCTCCCATGTACTGCCCTGTGCCTTGGGGCAGGCACAGGAAAGAGAAGCCAGAAGCAATGCCCAGAGACCCTGGATGATGCCACAGCCAGAGTGATAGGAAGAACAGTGGCCAGGTGGGAGTGCAGGAGCCACAAGTAAGACAGCTGTATGCTTAAAGTATAAGCATAAATCTTTGCAGGACCAAGGCATAAATGAATAAATGAAAATGAGCTTCATTGTCAGAATAGTACTGGTTAGGAGCATCCTTCTTTGTCATTAAGGCTATTTCTTGTCACCTTTTTTCTTAGGTGTTTACCTCTCATGGGCCCACTGTGATCATGCCGACCTGGTTCTGCTCCCGAGAATGGTTTTGCCACGTGGGCAAATTTGATGAGGGTGGGAAGGTGAGTGCTACAGACAACAATTTATAATCTGTTTTTTACTCCATTTTAATAAAGTGTTTCCGTTAGTAGAACATTAGTAGTGTAATGCTTTCAAATGGCCTTTTTCCACTGAAATTGAACAGGCCACAGTGTAGACAATTTATAATCAAAACACTAATTCACACATGGGTGACTCATTCAGTCAAACATTATGCGGAGTTTGAAATGTTTTCCCTTAGTTCTATCTACTGAATTGCAAACTTAATAAACAGATGCCCTTCCATGTTTTCAATGAGTTCTGTCCCAAAACTTGTGTGAGTTGAAAGAACTCTGATTATTGGCAAGCAGTTTTATTCACTTTTTCTGAATTCCTCTACCTATTACTTCCACAAGTAGCTTTGCAATACTCTTGAGGGTAATTCAGACTCATTTTTGTAGTCCATTTGTGAAAACATGTGGTTGCAGTTATTGTTTTGTCATTCTAGCTAAAAATGCCAAGTGGCATCGAGGCTCTGTGGTACAAAACATGGTGCAAATTTATGCTGAGAGAGACTCCCTGCCCCAAAGAGTTTACATTCTAAATGGAGAATAGACTGAGGCTGCTGACAGACATGGAAAAAAAAACCCCACGCTTTACCGGAAGAAGCAGTGCATTATAGTTTCATAGTTTCGTAGTAGGTAGAGTCGGAAGGGACCTGAGCAGATCGTCATCAAATCCAACCCCCTGCCATGGCAGGAAAGAGTACTGGGGTCAAACGACCCCAGCAAGGTGTTCCTCTAGCCTCCTCTTAAAGACCCCCAGGGTAGGAGCCAGCACCACTTCTCTTGGAAGTTGGTTCCAGATCCTAGCTGCCCTGACAGTGAAGTAGTGCCTCCTGATGTCTAGTCTGAATCTACCCTCTGCCAGCTTGTG